GGCGATAAAATAATATTGAATATTTTCTCGTGAAATTTGTAGAATATGACAATTTGGTTGAAGCCCTAATGGAGGTTCTGTAATAGTGATCGTGTGTGTGTTTTGGTGCTAGTGGGACAGATGCAGAAGAGTTACTTATACATAGTGGGGATGAACTCATGAAACGAATACCACGTGGTACAATAATAGTGTTATAGTATTCAAACAAGAAATTCAGTGACATGTGAAGTGAATAAAAAAAATTGCTTCATTTTTCTACATATATAAATTAAATCAATTGGAGTAAATAAATCATAGTAATATATTAAAACTTCTTTGCGTCGCGATGACATAAATTGTTCTTTTCATAACTACACTTTTATGATAAGTTCAGAAAACTTCATGTAGAAGAAGAAAAAAATTATACATACGGGATTTTTTATTATTATTATTATATTATTGATCAACTTTATTATAAATTTTTTTCGTTTACTACAATTTATTTATTTAGTAATTAATTTATTTATTAACGAACCGCAAAAGTTCTTTAAAAAGAAAATGAATTTGATTAGAATTTAAAACTATAAATAGGAAATTTAATGAAATTGAAATTGAGAAAACTATTTGAAATACTTTTTCTTCCTGACTTTCAAGTGCTTCTAAGTCTATTAGAATCTACTTTGGAAACAAATTATTGACGAGTTTTTTTAACGTAAAGTTAATTTAGAGCTACAAGTTTATAAATACGATGTAGTATGATAGTAAAAGTATTTATATTTTTTATTTACTTTTTAGTAATTATCTGACTTATTTTGAACATAAAATTAGAAAATTATTTATAATCATCTTTGAAGAAATGAATTGAATCTAATTATTATTATTACATTATTATTATGTAATAATAAATAATAAATATAATACTAAATATAAATAAAAAATAAAAATATTATTATTATTATTATTATTATTATAAAATTGTTATTAAATTAATTATAATTTTATATACATACATTTGAGTAAAATATCGGTTCAATTTACTTAGCTTCAATGTTTTAAAGTACAGTCATTTCTCATTGATTTTATTTATTACTTGATAACACTATAAACCTATATCCTTGCTAACTTGTTCTCATTTATGAATAATGTAATGCCTCAATTTCTTATACTACTAAAATGTTCAGTGTTTATTTAAATTTCATATTTTACGAATTTATATTATACATATGAATTTAATGGTTTTCAGATAGAGATGGTAATCTTTAAAATTGAATCAGTAAATTTTCAGTGAGTCTCTTTTGTACGATTTCAATAAGTAAAAGTCATCTGCAAATCACTTATTATTTATTGAATTTTTTCTCCTCCCTATTTGCAGTTTGAAATTATGTTTAAAATTAGGGGAATGTAGTCAAGGTTGGTCTACTGTCTAGGTAGGCCATCGCGATTTTTTGGACAAGTTCACTAGCGCCACCTACACGCATGCTTGTCGAAGCTTATCTTAGTGTAACCTAACTTTTTGTTCAATTACATTTTCGGAGGATCGAAAATTGTGTTTTCTGTGACGTCGGTACAAAAAAAGCTCAAAAAAAGTTTTGTGCATAATGTGAAAAACCATTAATAAAAGATAAAAAACAAATTGAATCGTCAAGGCAAGTATGCAGAAAATTTGTGGGACTCATGGTTGAAAGGAAAACAAAGTAAAAAATCGAATCCCGAAACGTATTTCTTTATGGTTACAACAATTCGGTAATGTTACTTACTGTCAAGGTCGGCCACTATGTGTTTAAAATGCGCAAAGTTGAGGACGAGCTACTTCATTTGCAAAAACTGCAATTCTGTATAACTCATAATATAATTGATCATCTTATTAATATTTTTATTTAATTTTATTAATATTTTAGTGCAGAATTTTTTTTTATTTATATTTATTTTTTTATATTGTTTATTGTTATTATTTTGTTATTTTATTAAGTTACAAACTGTAAACAATAAAGAATCAATATTCCGTAACTCCAAACATGTTATTTTATTTTTTAACGATTAATGCCCTTTGAATTTTAAACATGGCCGACCTTGACTGTAATGGCCAACCTCGACTACAAATTTTTTTTTTTTTAAATCTTTATAACTTTTTCATTTTAAAACCAATCAATTTACTTTGTACAGAAAAGATGTTCCTATTAAACAGGACTTTCCAACCATATACTTCAATTGTCCAAATTCATTTTTAAAAAAAAGTTATAAACAAAAGTCAAAAAGGTGGCCGACCTAGACTATGTTCCCCTACATTTAAAATTACATTTATAATTACATTTATAATTACATTTAAAATTACATTTATAATTACATTTATAATTAGGTACATTTAAAATTACATTTAAAATTACATTTAAAATTACATTTATAATTGCATTTAAAATAACGTTTAAACTATTGTTTAAAAATTCAGTTCTTAAAAGTAAATTTGTACTTATTTGTTTAATTAATAAGTAAATTCGCTTTGACATGAAAAACAAAATTGTATTGTTGAGTCTGGTAAATTAGTTAGTTTAATTTAATTTAATTTAATTTTAATTTCAATCAAATTTATTCTTTACCTAATAATTTTTATTGCTTAATTTTATTTAAATTATTTATTTTTATCACTATTTTATGTATTTTATATTTCAATAATTTTTTCTACATATAATTCAATTTCCTGGATTTAATATGTATTCAATTTACTTTTATCGCGGAAAAAATCGATCACCCCTAGGATTCGAAACTTTGTAATTCGAAACAGAAGTCGAGAGTGTTGACCACTGGACCATGAGGCAGTATTATCAAACTTTCAATTTAATTTCACTTATTGAATTCAAAACAATTGATTTTCTGATTCACTTTTAGAAAATAGCAGCAAAATGAAAAAGAATTTTTTGAAAAAAATAACATTATTTGAAGGAATTAAATTGAAATTGTATTAAAAAGAATTGAATTATTTTTGACAAGAATTCAACTAAAATTTTAAAAAATATTTGCAATTCTTTCGAGAAATTTATTTAAAATTTTGTTGAAAATAATTGAATTCCTGCGAATATGATTGTTTATGAAACTAAGTGAATTATTGGGAAAAGTTTTTAATAAAATTTTTTTAAATAATTGAATTGTTTCAAAAGATTTTATTGCAAATTTTGAAAATAATTACATTCTTTCAAAGAACTAAATTAAAATTTTATTAAGAATAATTGAATTCTTATAAAGAACTTCTATCGAAATTTTAAAAAGTATTAAAATTTTTTTTGATAGAATTTAATAAAATTTTTGAAAATAATTGAATTTTTTCGAATAATTTTATTAAAAATTTTGAGAATGCCTCAGTATTTTTGAAACAGTCAAATTGATCAAATCAAAATAGATCAAATTGTTGCTAAAAATTTGTGACAATTTTTTATTTTATTCACATTCACTTTCAAGTTTTTTAACTTAAAATTTAATTAAGTTTTATTTTATTAAATGTTATTTTTTAAAATTATTTTTTAATTATTAATTATTAATTAAGTATAATTAAAATGTAATCCAATTCTGTTGATTAATTTTATAAAAATAATTGTAGGTATTAAAAATAACTGCATAATAAAATATAATTTATTTTGGAAGCATGATATGTACACACCCAGAGAAATGTTTTATTTAAACCAAATATAACTTATCTGAATCAAGTATAAGAGAATATTTGTTACAGAACCTGCTAAATTATTTATTTGTTTTAAATAAGAATAAATAAACAGAATTATTATTCGAACCAAATAAATAATTTAGTAAACTCTGAGTAAAATGTATCTTTTTTCACTCTGTGCACGTGTTGAATTTTAATTCTCTTCGATTATTCAATTTTCAGAAAAAAACTACTCCATAACTTTTTATTGGAACTTAAATAATAAAATTCACATCATTTTTTCTTCTGTAATTCATTTTAACTGAAATATTGAAAATTTAGTTAAAACATTTTAAATAATGAAACACATGATTGAAACATGTGCATATAAAATAAGTTATTGAAAAAAGTACACTTCCTTTATAACGCGTATAAAAATAAAACATTTGATTTAATGAATGGTTTATTATTTAATTCCATTGTATTATATTTATGTATACGCGAACATATACAATATATATATATGTACGTAGTAATGATAGACATTATGTATAAATTTTAACTGAATTGAATTTTATTGAATTATAAAATTTAATATTGATTCTTTGACATGACATAACCCAGAAAATAATTAGAATACTTGGAATTATTTTTATTAAATTCTAATAATATTGTATTAATGTTACATTATTATGATTTTAAATTTGAAACATAATAATTACAATGTAATAATAATAAAAAAATTTTATTAGATAGTAGCGCATATTTCAGAGTCCAGTTTGAGAATACAAAAAAAATAATACAATTTTATAATGATATTGGGGGAGACAGAGCAAAAAAGTGAATTTCGTGTGCGTGTAAATATTCGAGGGACGTGTTGCGCCGGAAAAACTGTATAGGTGAATGTAGTGGTTGACATTGGTGTGAAATGAAAGAGAAATTCAGGAATATAGGGCCATTGGTAATATAGTGATTGCATACACGCGAAGTGCATGTAAATAGATTTTGATAATTCGTGAGTCGCCATTTTTGATCATGCGCTGATTGGCGACGGATGTTTATTATATATGTACACATTGCTCTTGTGTATAAGGGAAAACTTTTTTTTTTTATATATGTACACATTTACCAACACTTTCGTTCTGAGAACTTGTTCCACGCTTTTTCACCCTCCTCTTTCTCTTTCTCTCTCTCTCTCTTTCTCTCCTCCTCATTCTCCCTCTTTCGCAGAGATCATCCCGCTTTTGGTCGTTGTGTTATACTCGTGCTGCCACCCAGTTGCGAGAAAACTTTTTCCCGAGTTTCGCGAGTGAGATGATGAGAGTTTACGAACGAGAGGAAGGGAATTTTTATGGAGAAATGAAAATACAAATGGCTTGTATCTTTCTAGCGATGAATAGACTTTTTATGCGTCAACGACAAACATCAACGGATGTTACATTTTACAATAATAAATATGAAAAGGAAACGTTAGTTATTCTTTCTTGAGGAAGAAGGATAACGAGAGGAAGAGGTATGTTTAATAAGTATGGATCATTATTTATTTTTATTTACTTATTATTTACTTTTAACTCTTGAAAACGTTATGGGTTTCTTTTTCGTTTCAATTAGGGTTAATTGTTGATTAAAGGATTAATTAATAAATTTTACGCGCTATATAGAAAACAAACTTTAGAAGCAAAAAGTTTTAACGTTTGTAATTTTTAGTGTGATATACAAAATGACTATTAATACTTATAATAATTAGTAAATGTTAATTAAACATATTGTAAAGAAGAAATGAAAATTTTGGGAGTAAATATAGCAAATCGAGAATACTGTAAAAAAATAAATTTTTTTACTATCAATCGGATTCTATAAAAGTTGCATCTTTTGAGTTGAAGCAATTAGTTTAACCATTATTTAAATTATTTTATTAAGAAATATTAATTTCTTTTGTCTTGGATTAGAATAAATGAAATAGATATACATAATTTAATAAATCAGACATTCTTCGTTAATTGAGTGGGGGAAATCTTTAACTGAGTGTCTTAGGTGACGAGGGGGGATATGGTGTGTTCCCCCACTCCAGCACAGCGCGAGCACTCTTGTCATGAGTGTTGAATGAAACTGTTTTCTTTTATTGATTCCATTGGGAAATTCATTCATAAAGTGAATAATTTGATTACTCTCAATTATTGCATAATTAAATTGCATAAATTAATTATGAATATTAAATACTTTTAAATAAACATACGGCATATTATAGCTGACATTGAACATTAAATTTTGTCCTTGAGAAATAAAATAAACGACAAAAATCGGTAGTAAAAGAAAAACTGTAATCAGACAAAAATGAAATAACTGGACAAATTTTAGTAATTTGCAGTTTAATTTTTCGGTTATACCAGACGAATATTTATTTTCTCTATTTTAATAGCAGGAGTTTTTAATTTTTGTCTGACCGAAAATTAGACTTTAAAACTGATTTCACTCTTTAAAAGAGTACATTTACTAATATGCCAATAGTTACATTAATAAGTTACATTAATGCTTCTGTAAACCTACTGTACGAGTACAAACTTATTATACGACTGAAAGGAAAGAATTTCAATTTTTTGTCTAACTGAAACCTGTCACTACTACTGACTCAGAACATTTTAAATGTTCATTAACATCTTGAATTTAAAGTTTGTAAATAAAACTATATGTCTGACTGTATAAACTATTTTTGCTACTTATATGTATAAAATTACATTTAAAAATCGATCGAAAATGTTTTGTCTGATTAAAACTTCTTTTTACTACTGATTTAAAATGCAGAATTGATTGTTTTTGTTGGACTATTGCAACGCTTGAGTCAATGAATTTACAGTTTCGTCTGACAAGAAATTGACCTTAACTACTTAATTTGGAGAATTTGTAATTGTCAACTGACCATAACTACGTTGTGTCTGACTATTAATTTATCCTCACTACTTAATTCAGTTTATAAGACGTCTATTTACAAACATAGTAGTAATACTTACAGTAACAACTTTGCAACTCGACTACAAACTTACTGTTAAAATTTATAGGGAGGAATTTCAGTCTTTCGTCTGACAAAAACTTGTCACTACTACTCATTAAGAAAATTTTAAACCCTCATTAACTTCTCAAACTTAGATTGAACTAAATAAAACTGTTATGTCTGATTGTAACTAGTTTCACTACTTAAATTATATTTAAAAATCGGCCGAAAGTTTTTTGTCCGATTGAAACTTCTTTTTACTACTGACTTTAAATTCTGAATTGATTGTTTGCTTCGGACTCTTGTCATTTCGTTTGATTAAAACACCTTTTCACTACTAATTTTAATTTCGGAATAAATTTTTTTGTTTTGGCTCTTGTAAAGTTTATAAGTCAACGAATTTAATGTTTCTGTCTGACAAGAAATGGGTTTTTAAGTACTTAAATGGGCTTAATATAGTTTTAAACTTAAGGGAGATCCTACTTTAGAAGGCCTAAAAGTAGCGCTTTTTTAAGAATTTTTTTAAAAAGGAAAAAATTAACTTAGACCTCCGGGCTTTTTGGAACGTTTTTGTATATATTTAAAGTATTTTTAAAAAGATTTTTGATATAAAATATTAAAAAATAGAAAAGTTAAAAATTAATTGTTGACGGTGGTGCACTTCTTGTCTTAAAAAACGATGTGCATGATAGAAAAAAATTTTAAAGTTCACATATGTAGTTTCTATTTGATTTAAACAAATTCCAAAGAAACGGTGAAATTCTAATATTTTGAGAGGATTACAGGAAAAAAATCCAAATCAAAAAATCCAAGAAAAGAAGTCCAAAGTACAAGAAATCCAAAATAAATATGTACAAAGTCAAAAAATCCAAAATAAATAAAAACGTCATAATAAATAATAAAACATGTGATAAAGCCACGTTTATACTTTTTACGCTGTAATCTGAATTTAAAATGTTAATGTTAAAACCGCAGGATTTTAATTATTTACATAAATAATAAAATTCTTCTCAAAAATTCAATTATTTTCATAAGTAAAAAAAATTCTAGAAAAATTCCAAGTATTTTATAAAATTTTTAAAACAATTATTCTAAGAAATACAATTATTTTCAACAATTTTGATAAAATTCTTTACAAAAATTCAATTGTTTTTTCTAATATAATTCCAATTAAATTACTTGATTAATTTAATTATTTTCAGAAATTTAAAATGTTAAGTTTACCTACTTTCGATTCACAGTCATCGAAATGAGCAACTGAAAAAAGAACAATTTCATTTAAAGCAATGATTTAAATTTTTATATCTCAATTTTTTTCATTGGATTAAAAATTTCTTTGGACTTTTTGACCAGGACAAAAAATTCAAAAAATAAGTCCACAGTGAAACTAATTTTTTTTTACTTTTTTGGACTTCATTTACTTTGGATTTTTTGGTTTGGACTTTTTGTTTTAGATTTTTTGTTTAAACCAGACAGTAGTCGGCCACTTTTCAATATTTGAATAGCTATAAAAGCGTATGAGATAAAAATATTTGGTTTGTTGATAATCATTTCTAAGGTGATCATAAACAAATCTAAGCTTTTGTAGTTGAAAAAAAAATTTTTGTACGGTTTTTGAAAGCTTTTTTAAGTGCCCGATTACTGTCAGATTCTTACTTGTTTATTTATTAATTTTTTTAACGAATAAAAAATTTTTTTTCATAAACACGATTGGTTTAGTAGTTTTGTGTAATCGTAAGGAACAACATCACATGAAAGAATTCGAAAAAAATATGAATTGCACTTTTAAAACAGTTTCTTACTTTTTTTGTAAATTTTTTTAACGAATAAGAAATTTTTTTTTGTAAATATGAATGGTATACAAGTTTTGTAGGAACATTAGGAACATGGAAGAAATTTTGAAGAATTTTTAATTGTAATTTTTATACAGTATTCATTAAAAAGATTTTCTTAAGTGGCCGACTACTGTCTGGTTTACCCTACTTGATTAGAAGTTTTTTAAAAAATTTTTTAAAGTCAAAACAAACAAGAGTAAAAATACGAAAAAACTGATTTTTTTTGTCATTATACAAATTAAAATAACGAAGACGATAATTTTTATTATTTAGAAAAGTTGACAGTTTCTTTGACAACTGTCAACAGCTAAAATTCAAATTTGATATCATATTCGTAATCAGCGACCTCAAAAACCTTAATACTGTCTTTTTTATAAAAAACGATCACTTTTTAGAGAAGTTGATAGCTGTCAACTGTCAAATTGTCAATTTAATATCATATTCCTTACAAACATGTGTCACTTATTCATACTTATTGTTGCTATTTAGAAAACTTAAATTATTTTTTCTGTGTTTGGAAAGTTTGTTATTAATGTATATAAACAATTATTAAAAAAAACTTTTCATCACTTGTATGTTTTTTATTTTGATACTGTGATCCATACTGAAGAAAATAAGCCTAACTTGATTAAAAAATATTAATAAGTATATGGAGTGTATAACTCCTTTTTTATTTTAAGCCAAGTATAATAAAGTAAAGATTTCCTTCTTTCTTGTGGCCTAATGGCTTTAAACTTTATTTAAATTACATCAAAATTTTGACGCGTTTTGATGCAGTATTCTGCATCCTCATCAGAAAAAAACGGAACAAAACGTCAGACAAAATAAAAGTCAAAAAATAAATAAACATGGAACATTCAACATTTAGACATAACCTCAAAATAGGTCTGTCACTATTTCTTTAAACTCTTCATAAACGATAAAAGAAATCATAAAATGGTAAAAAACCACGTTTAGACAAACAATAGTAAAAACCTTTTTTGAAAAAAACTTTTTCATATGAGATTATATGCTCCATAGAGCATATATATGTCACATGGAAAAATGTGAAAAAAAACCTTTTTAATAATTTTATTATTATATAATCTCATATGAAAAAGTTTTTTTCAAAAAAGGTTTTTACTATTGTTTGTCTAAACGTGGTTTTTTACCATTTTATGATTTCTTTTATCGTTTATGAAGAATTTAAAGAAATAGTGACAGACCTATTTTGAGGTTATGTCTGAATGTTGAATGTTCCATGTTTATTTATTTTTTGACTTTTATTTTGTCTGACGTTTTGTTCCGTTTTTTTTCTGATGAGGATGCAGAATACTGCATCGAAACGCGTCAAAATTTTGATGTAATTTAAATAAAGTTTAAAGCCATTAGGCCACAAGAAAGAAGGAAATCTTTACTTTAAAAAATATTAATATTTAAAAAAGTTATAAGGGTTTTTCTAAGTTAAACTTTAACTGCTGTTTTCTCAAAAACTTGTTTTCGCACTTAAGGTCCCTTTTCATAGACCAGGTCATATATAGGAACAAAACTTATGTTCCCTATTATAATAAACAGAGTTTCAAATTTTTGTCCAACCAAAATTTTCCCGCACTACTTATTTTATTTTTGAAAGGAAGAATTACTAATGTAGTAGAAATACTTGAATTAATATTTTTATAATCATATTGTCTGACTATAACTTACAATTAC